CCCCAAAACCCCAAAACCCCATGATAGTAGAATTAATTATGCGTAGTGATATTTTAATACAAAATTGTCAGAAATACTTAATTATTTTTATTTTAACTTTCTAAATTATTCACTGCATTAGTTAAGGATTTAGAAATAATTAATTTTTTAATCAGTCTAAATTCAATCTAGTTAAAGTTTGACTCAATTAAAAATTACTAGAGTAATCATTAATATTTATTTACTTCAATATTCATAATAGATAATGCTTAAATTATCAACTGAAGAAAGCATGTTCTTCAATCTATCAAAAAGTGTGACCTCTTTATAACTTGATTATGATAGATCTTATTCATTTGAGTTAAGCAGCATTGAATCCATAAATATTTGTTCAAGTAACATCGACTTGCAACACTAAGATATTTGCCTAAATGATTATGGTTCCCCACGTTAAAAAAATATTGCTAAATAAAATATGATGCAAACTTAAAATATTCCAGAATCTCTCCCTGTTTTAGATACTGGCAATAATAATCACTTCTTCGATGAGAATTATATGATTGTAGATTAAATTTCATAACAAGATCATTTTGACTTAGATCAGATATTGTCATGTAGCTAAGTTTATACAAATTAAGATTCGTTATCTCAGACAAACAATTCAGGAGAATAATAGGTGAGTGCGAGTGCTTTCAATAATTATTTGGAGTATAAAAATGGATGATAAGCATTAAAATGCCATTAAGCTAATATAGAGTCAGACTTTGACTCTCTCGATAATTTATTAAATAGTCTCTTTGATAATAATTCATTGAAGAGAAAAAAAGAATAGATAGAAGTTTCAAGGTTATCTGAGTTAGAGCTTAGAAATAGAAAATAAATTAAAGTTAGAAAATCAAAGTTAGTTTATGAGACCTTTAATGCTTATTATCAGAATAATAAAAAATGGACTCGCTAGCTGATGGTACATTTGTCAAAATAACTAGGCCTAACGTATTAGCAAGTATATAAATGGAACTGGGACAAATAAAAGAGAGATAGAAAGAAAAAATACAAAAATAAGACCTAAATACAATTCTCATGTAAAATCTCAAGTAAATGATTAATAAGAAAGTAGAAATTTAGTATTGAAAAAATTTTTGTTAGTGAAATACGTATAATTATCTAACAGTAAATACTTTATTTAATTTAATATAAAATCTAAAATTATCATCTTTTATCATCATCAAGGGGTTTTGGGGTTTTGGGG